CTTCCTACCCACCATCTATCAACTGCTTCATGAAATTACAGCATCGTGGTAATCCTATACACTCGGGAGTCCCACTGAATCCAGCAGCATTTTATTTGGAGTAAATCTGCTTCAAACAGAACAGGTTGCACAATACAAAGTGACTTTTCTCGCCTTCAGTGGTAATTACTTCCCTAATGCCAGGATATGAATCAGAATACAAACACTGTTTAACCTTAAACCATAATCAAGAATCAAAAAATTGCTTGTAAATTACTTTGATTATATTAATTCCTATTAATAAATCATATACAAACAATACTCTCTATGAGATCTGAAAAATATAATTGTATCCTGCTACCATAGCTTTCATACTACCCAATTGGTGGATCCAGTTTGGCGCTTGTCACCACTCATGAGTCCTATGGACATTTGTCTTGGTATCTACCACATCCCCACCCCCATTCTATTTTTTCAAAATTGTTGTAGATTTTAAACAAAATGTAAAAGGAATCTGCCATGCCGAAAAGCAAAGTCTACAAAATCACTTTGCATAGACCCCATAAGTACTCTTATAAAAGGAAAACGATGAGTGGCTACAGCTCACTGCATTGCTTGTAACTATGCTCACTTGCCTCAATTTTGAGGCATGACAATCAAAAGCTGGGGGCTGATCAAGTAGCCCTGGGGCTAGTGAATGTGACAAGAAACAACCTTAGAAATTTTAGTCTTCTTGTCAATTCATCTTTTCTAATCAACCACAGCTACTATGGCAGACATTTTATGAATGGGCAGGACCTCTAGGTGAGCCATTTTCCCTGAATATTCAAAATGTGTTCTCAAAATGTCAAATGTATCACTGGGCCAAAAAGATTTTGAACCCATACTACAGAAACATTATTTGAAGTTACAAATAACAGGGAAACAAAAGATTTTAAAAAGATCCTACATGACTTTATTGCAGTAATTGGACATGCTGGGCAAACCATTTATTCAGTCAGTCAGTCAACTTGTATATCCTACATTTCTACTGTATGTGAGCATTCAAATCACTAATAATGGATATGAATTGTAACAAAGGACAACTAAAGGACTGCCAGATTGGAGAAAATCTTCGTCAAACTAGAATGCTGGATTTTTATTCCAGATGCAACCTCTACTAGCCTTAAAAAGTATTCCAAGGTTGTTGGCTTAGTTTTTCTACCTGCTTCACCTGAAATATATATTTTTAAAAACCCATATCTATATATGTTTAGTGATTCCCTTTCTCAGGATTCATCATATGAAGGAATAATAATAGCAAGTAACAGCAGACAATGATGGTTCAGTTAAATCTCTCTAGGACTATGTTTGGCAGAATCACTCATTGATATGGGTGGCTACAGAAATCAAATGAATAAATAAATGGGACTACAGTATTAACAACCATGTTCCTAAGGATGCATATCAGGATAGAGGAGTTACTTTATACTCAGAGAAACTTAAGTTATTTTGAGCAAAATATTCTAATCAACCACTGAACTCACTTAGCAAAGACACTATGAATGTATTTTTATTAAAGATTTTGGATGCAGAGATGAAGGAAAAACTTATCACATTTGAAGATGACAAAACTTGGGTGGAATAGTGAAAACTAATACTACTACTAATGGGAGACAGAAATAAAAGTCAAACCATTTTGATAAGTTACTGAAATAGGTTGAAAGGAAGAAAATGAAATTTAACAAATTCTTCACTTATTAAAAAAATAAAACACAAAAATTTAGAAAGGAAATATTGGTAATGGTACTGGTGAAAAAGTTCTTGAAATACTGGTTGATTGCAAACTGAATATGAATCTTGATTGATTTGTTGATTAGGTGCTATCAAGTTGGTGTCCATCTATAGCAACCATATAAACTGAGTTCCTCCATGACGATGAATATGAACCTTCAAATAGTTATATTTCATCAACTAAAGTATCACAGGAAATCACCGAAAATAATTGTTCCATTTTACTCTGCATTAGTCAGACTCCACCTGTGTCTAGTTCTAGTTACAGCATCTTAAGAAATATTCAGAGTGGAACAAGTTAAAAAAAGAACAATGGGATGACAAGAAATTAAAAGAATTGGGAACGTTAGCCATAAGAAAAGGAGGAATATGATAATACTCCTCAAATAATTAAAGATAATTAAAGATTATTTGACCTCCAAAGGAGGTCAAGATCTGTTCTCCATTATTCCTAACAATAGCACTCAAGCTGTACAAGTAATAACAGTATACTGTTGTTAAGAATAATGGAGAACAGATCTTGACCTCTTTGGTATAATATATACCACTATAACATTCTTATAGTGTCCCAGTAAGAATGGTAGTAGGAACCTGTCTAATGATTTTGGGTGGTGGGGGGAGGCAGCCACTGAAACTCTGAGTACTAATGTCAAATCACATGTCAACATAAAGAGATGATAGAGAGGTTTTCAAATTATTTTAACAGGAAAAATAGACAAAAACATTATTATTGACCTATGCTCTTAAATGGAACTGAGGTTTGGGGCTTAAAACACATAGCATTACTACAACAAACACAATCACAGCATCTGAGTATTTTGGGTGTGGTAAAAGGACCTCAACTGCTGCATTTAGAGCTGAGTGGGGAATTTATACACTTTGTTCTTTGTCAAAAATTAGGGCATATAATTATGGTGCAGAATCAATTCTATGGAAACTGACAGACTGGCAAAATTGTGTCTGATAGAACACACTAAAAGTTAATTAGAGACCTCTTAGACAGTAAAACACACAAACTATATCAAGAGTTGTGGTCTCCCTGTTTCTTGTCCAACTGTCTCTGGACAATTTAAAAAGACTGCTGCACAAAGATGTTGCATATAGAAGCTCAAAGAGATATAGCTAACTTCAGGAAGGACAGCACACTGAAATGAATGAGACACCATAAACACACCTCCCAAAGTGGAAAATATTTAAATACAGAAATGCCCAAGCATCTTAGGAAGGTATTTACTTAAGCAAGATTTAAACACCTAAACACGATGGTTAAATATGGAAGGTTTAACCCAAGTTCCTATCAGGAACGTATTTGTGGAGCTCCAAAGGTGGCGAACATAGCTCATATATTATTTGAATGCCAACTGTATAGTAAAGAGAGATATTAATATCCTGGATCACACATTAGACGAACAGTGTATTGGGATCCACGCATTTGAACAACATATTTCATGTGTGGTCAGAAGCAAATGTTACATATAACATGGCCTTTTATCTGAATAAAACAATACAGCTGAGAACTGCATATGTGAATCTGATTAGGGTAAATAATAGGGATGATACAGAATACGATTCGTATTTCCTTTTAGTTTTGCCTTTTATTTTATTTTATTGTATATGGTCTAATTATTGACTTGTATTTTGTCTTCTGATATGACCTTATGGCTACTCAATAAAGTATTATTATTATTGCATGAACAAGCCTGAGATTTGAATAAATTTGATTTGAAATTACACACAATTCATCAACTTGTACAGAGAAATAAAATCATGAGACACTTAAACAGTTAAACTTTAATCAGAAGCTATGGGGGGGAAATGTTAATCCTGTGCTTTTCTCAGCCTCAGTTCACAGCTTCTCCTGAGTTGTGCCTTTAGTTTTAAAATGACCTTTTTTTTCTATCTCCTGCACAGGAAGAAGCTGGGATAAGATGAAGGCACACATCTCTCCTTTCTGGGGATTGTATTGGCAGTCTGGCATCAGCGGCTGCTCTCTTATAGGAATATATTTCATGAATGTTCACAACACTACCAGATTTCAAATACATTTTTGGTCCTTAAAAAAAAGTTGCAACAAAATACTTATTAAGAAACAAAATGGATCCTCTTGTTAAACAGTGCAGTCCCTCAAGGAGCTACATGAAGACATTCAGTACTTATCTCTGATTTGTTTTCTGCAAGTTTCTATTCTTTCTCTGCTTCTTCCCTCCCCTTTTTTCTTTTTGCTCCTTTTTCATAACAGTGAACTGAATTTACATTCCTTCATTGTTTTTTTTGGCTTGTTATTTTGTTCAGACAGATGTATTTTTTTCCTCTGAAACTAGAACATTTGTTCAAAGATTAAACTTGTAACAATCATAAATTGTTTTAACAGCTGTTCCTTTGCTTAGAAAGCTTGCAAGTGACTTCAGTCCAACACATTTTAGTCAGTTTGTAAGGGGAAGTGAAATATTAATACATGCAAGAGCATGTTAGATCAGGATGCCAGGGGGTTTCAGCAGCTGGCACTACTACTTAAGTCCATCGTTGGGGCGGAGGGGACTGAGCAGACCAGCGCTACTTCTCCATGCCCTGGTGCCCCTGGAAGCTCAATTGGGCTGTCCCCAACCCTACGTCCCCTGTTTATGAAGCCATGACTGTCAGGAAGGAACTTTCATGTGGCAGGGGAAAGGAGCACAGATCTTGTTTTTTTATACTCAGTTCCCAAGGAGAGCTGATGAAAAGTCATGCTCCTTCCAGGGGACAGAGTTTCTTCCGCAAGATAGGAAAATTTCAAGCCCTGCCTACTATCTAGAAGAGAGTCAGTTCACCCTTTCCCTTCGGCTCCATTTAAGGTGACAGAGAAATGTTAGCTCTTTCCTCCTTGCCATCCAAAAATATCCTATTTCCAAAGACTAAACATGAAGTCAAAGGCTATCCAGAGCATTTATGCTTCCAGCAATCTATTCTTTTCTACAGGCTACACATACCCACTCTTGCAATATTCCCTCACAGCACTTGGTTTCCAACCCCCCTCCCTCCCCCAGTGTGGTCCAGATTGCCTTCCTATGGATACACTCTCAGAAGTTTTCTGAAAGAGTATTAAATCTAACTTAAACTAGAACTATCTGATATATAAACTTATAGAGGTAAACATTTAACTCATTAATAATTTAACAAGAGAATTTAATTAATTAATAATTGGATTTATTAAAAACTTATACTTTCCTTCAAGAAGTGTTTTAAATTGTTCATAAAGTAGAAAAATTTCACTTCCAGACCTACGCGTCAGCATGAACAGAGCTAAGTCATTTCATCCTCACATGATGGACACAATGATCCATTTTTAACAACCTTTGGATTCTGCTTATTCCTGTGAAACCTGCAAAAAGGATATTTCTAATTATTAGATTAGGTTAAAAAACAAAAAGGATGCTATCTTATGCATGTTCATCCAGAAATAGCATCACTGGGGTCATAAGGTATGCTTTGCAGCAAACATAATATATGCTTTGCAGTAGACCTTTCAGAAGGAAATACCACTGAACTTAATGAATTGCTTCTTGGTAGACATGCTTAATTTCAGACTATAAAACAATAGCTTTTTATCACACCATAAAAACTATTTTATTTCAAGATTGGAAATTGCAGATATCCAATATTAGCCAATATTCTAAATTTAAATTAAATGGAAACAATGAAAAAAAGCCACTTGGGTTACTTCTCAAAAAAGTATCCTGGACGCTGGCATTGCTCTGCTGCCAAGATAATTTCCAAAAGTAAGTTACTTTTCCCAGAGTAATTGGACTGCTTTGAATGGTTATACATGACAGAATTACTGAAATTCAACTATTTTGATTTTATTGCCAGGATACAGTAAAACTCTTGTGGTCTGCAGTTCATACAGTTCAGAATCACAAACTATGAGCATTCTCAAACCTATGTATTAGAACATCATAGCTTCAAGTCCATCTTCCATAAACTTTTTATAAAGGGCCATAAACTTGGCTACAAACGCTTCCAGGTGATAAATAGCTTTGTTGCCCAGTTGTAATCGGTGCTCATAGAAAGCTGCCATTTGTGCAACCTCTCCTTTTAGTTGCCCATCACAGTTGTTGAGAAGTTCAGACAGAAGGCCCTAAAATAGATGACAAAACAGTAGTAGTTCAGAGATAGGTAATTACATTTTTTCTGAATATATGAAATAAATGGAATGCTTGCAATAAAGTTGACTTTGACTAAGTTGTGGTACACTGGCCAAAAATGTGCCAGAACTGACTTGCATATGTACTTACCATTAGCAGAGAATGCTACATGTAGCAAGGGTATGATTTAGGTTGGTAACTGAGTCTATTATTTTATCTTATTAAAAAGAGTTCTGTAAAAGTTAATCAAAGCCATAACGACTAGTAAAAGTCAACATTCATGGGCCCATCAGTTGAATATGGTATAATTGAATGTTAACAAAATAACTATAAGGAAAGAGAAAAAAAGATATTATATTTGTGAGATATATTTATAAAAGAAAGAGGAAGGATATAATAGATTTTTTTTTATTTTATGGAATAGAGCTAAGGAATACACACAGAGAAGGTGTAAGTTTAATTATGAATGAAAGGTACAAAATGTATGTCAGAAATGATGACTTGGTGTTAGCCAGATTACTGTATGTACAGTATGAAAGTAGGAATTCATAGACTGGTGGCAATTATCCAATGAACTGTGCTGGTGAAAGAACCAAGAATGAGTTTGGGGGTTAAATGTACGCCCTTATGAATGAATGAAATTTGGGGAAACGTTATTCTCTTAAGTAACATGATAGGGTGGGAATGAGACAAGAGAATATATTAAAAGTGTTTGTGCCATGTGAAGTCCAAGAATAAATGTAAATGGTGAATGGTTTCTGCTTAGCAAAAGGTCTGTTTGAAATATACAACTTCAGTATAAACATTCATATATTCACATGGCAAAGGGCTGAACTGAAAAGCGTGACTGATTTGATCGTTTATGATGCATGACAGAATTAGTAAAGAGTACAAAGATGATGAGAAGACCTAAATGTGGGGCGCCATTTATTGGGTAATGTAAAAAAAAAAAATGGATCTTAGGAAAAAATGGACATAGAAACAAAAAGAAGCAATAGAAAGTACAGTGAAAGTAGGAGGAAGAGAAAGTGAAAGTTCTCTATATGAAAACATATTAGAAGACACATTAATCTCCCAACAGCATTAGAAAATGGACATAAAGAAGAAGCAGGGGTTTAGAACAAAATGGAAAGAATTGTGATGGAAGGCATGAGCGGGGAGGATTCTGGAATGGAGCTTCAAGGTTACAGGGAGGGGGGAGAGACATTCCAAGGAAAGAATCTCCTCAGCCCCCAGATGGACTGTGTGAAAGTCAAGAGGAGGAGACTGCTCCCCCCAAAGGGCATTGTGGTTATAGTTGCTATTGTTGGGGGATTAGAGTTAGTCTGGCGAGATTCTGTCTATTAGGTG